TTCTACATTTGCAAGAAATCAGCCTTTTTCTTTTTATTTATTTATTGCCTTGAACTCAGGCCCTTGGTACTGTCCCTGAGCTGCTTCTGCTGAAGTCTAGCCCTCTACTACTTGAGCCACAGTGCCACTTCTGGCTTTTTTTTGTGTGTATATGGTACCGAGGAATCAAACTCAGGGCTTCATGCATGCTAGGCAAGCACTCTACCACTAAGCCACCTTCCCAACTCCTAATTTTTCTTTTTATTATCAAGGTCATGTTCAGAGGGGTTACAGTTACATAAGTAAGGTAGTAAGTACGTTTCTTGTCAAGTTTGTTACCCCTTCCCTCATTTTTCTCCTACTTTCCCTCCCCCACATTCCCAAGTTGCACAGATCATTTCTAACATATTTAATAAAGGACTACAAAGAAGCTCAGTTGGAAGAGAGGGGCAGCCCAACCCTGTTGGGGAGAGGGTAGATCATCTCTCTTTTCCCAAGCTGAGCTGACCTTCTTTTGCTTTCTCAGGAACGGGGCATAGGCCCCGCAGGACGCACACCACACCCGTGAGTGAGTGGGATGTGTGGGTGGCCGCCGCCCGTGAGAACTGCAGGCTGACACGCACACCATTTTATTGGCCAGACGCTGACATGAGATGCATTGTAGATAACATGATTAGCTTTTTAAAAATCTTAATTCTGACTAAGTCAAACCCACCCACGACTTTCTCTGGTAAGGAGGCTGGGTACAGGACCTTCAGGTCAACTGGGCCCCAAGGGCTGTTGACTGGAGCTCACAGCTGTGAGCTGTGATGGGGGCCCTGCCCCACCCCAAGGGATGCGACTCCCCTCAAAGCACCAACTTCTCATCTTCCGTCTCTCTCGAGGAATGACTACTTCATTTACAGAAGGAGAAATCAGTGACAAACACCCTCGATTGCCCGTCATGGCCTCTCCTGGCCCTCACTGCTTCCCTGCTGCTTTCACTGGTGTCCACCCACTGTCTGCACTGCCTCAACAGCCCCCCACTGTCTGCACTGCCTCAACAGCCCCGTCCGTATGCGTCTCGCCATGAAGTATTTGCTTCTAAGTCTTGGTACAGTTATGTATGAGTAGTCCTGGATATGTTAAAAGTGGTGTATATTACATATTTACGTGTGTGGGAGGGAGGGTGTGTATTGTTGTAGTGGTAGTAGTAGTAACAGTAGTGTTGAAGAAAGAAAGTAGTGTGACTTCTGGCAGTCTCGGGAATTCAAGAGAATAAAGGGATATCTCTAAATGCATCAAGCAGAAGGGGCAGGAAAGCTAGGATGTAACAAAAGGCATGGAAAAAAGGAGATGACATAAGGAATTGGCAGAACTAAAACCAAACATAAGCATTATCTATGTAAGCATAGTTCACACAAATAGATTACATCGATGCTTTTACATCAACGCACACAAATCCAGTAGGATATTATATACTCAAAAGCACAGCAAACCTAATAACATATGTATTTAAAGATAAACGAATAGCAGACTGCAAACCAGAAGAAAAAAGTAAATGGGTGGTATGCTTTGTCAATTTCAGACAAAATAAACTGTAGGTTGGAAAATGACATTACAGACAAAGATGATCATTACTTAGGAATAACATAAAATTGATTCAGAAACTATAACTACATCTAACAACATAAAGGATAGTTTAAAGGCCAATTAGAAAGTGAAATTAACAGGATATACGAAAAAGTTGCCAGTCATAGGGTAAGTTTTCAAGACAGTTTGCTGAGGTACAAAAATCAGAACTTAGTACACTTGTGTTTAATGGCAAAACTCTACTCTCCAAGTGCCCTAAGGTCAGCTCATCTCCTGCATCCCAAAGTAAAAAGCCAGCCACAGAAGAGAGAAAGTGTCCTCCCTGAACCACACCCACCACAGCTGTGTCCTCAGAGTTAGAACCTGAGGCTCTGTGGAACAGCTTCCAGACTAGAGAGCAAGGGACACACAACGGAAACTGGAGAAACTCTAGGATGATTCCCAAGAGCTCCTGCAAACAGTACTGAGATAGAAGCAATCAGGGCAGGACCAGCGATGTTATTTATGGACCCAGGGAAATGTATGAGTCGCCCAGAATCAATTGTGAGAGCTCTCTGCACACGGCCCCAGGGTGCACACAGCCCCAGGGTGCACACGGCCCCAGGGTGCACATGGCCCCAGGGTGAAGGAGCAACCAGAGTCTTGAAAAGTTTTGCCCTGTGGGTGGCGCATTCACCGCTGCTCAGATGACTGAGTGAACCAAGTTGCTGGCTTTGTTGACATGGCTTTGGTTACACTATCGGAGTTCTTGTTTGCAGGACTCATATGTAAAAGTGACAATAGATACAAAGGAAATCACATCCTGCCTTTGCTATTTCTGAGGGTTGCTGTAAGCTTACATTACAGATAAAGTTTCTTGGTAGAATCTTATCTCTGATTGCCTAGGGTGATACCAAGCAGTCAGTTTCTGACCTACAGATCTTCTTGAAAAGGAATGATTCTCTCTAATGGGTTTGTAACATGTCACAAAGGCACAAGACAAATAATGGGATCGACGATTGGTCAGGTGAAGATGTGACCCCGTTTTTAACACATTCCTCAGGGAAGACTAAAACTCACCCAGCAACAGTATCTATCCATGCTCTTTTATTTTTGGGGGTGTGTGCACCATCTCTCACATCCCTCCCTCTCTGGCCCCCTGGGCTCAGCTAGAGCTATCATCCTCTCTGTGTCCAAACTCTAACTCTGCATTCCTAGAAGCAAGCGGAGGAGAGATGCACATTCACGACCATCTGGAAAGTGTTCCACCACCCCCTCTCCTCCCATTGTCAGGCTGTCTTCTGAAAGGTGTGTATTTAGTGCTCGTGCTTAGAAAGTTAGAGAGTGAAGATAAATGATGGGAGATGAGATGTGCTTAGAAAGTTAAGAGTTCCGATAAATGATGGCAGACAGGCAAAAAGAAAATACATAGCTGTGTGATTTATAATTGCTGTTTCTAACGCAAGCGATAAAAATGCCTGCTTCACATCCTATCAGAGGCTGGCGCGGGGGAGGCTGGGGGAGGGGCAGGGCTGGCGCGGGGGAGGCTGGCGAGTGTGAGCAGGGCCAGGGTCTGGGCTGGTCCTCCCCACCAGGGAGGAGCCGCCGCTGGAATTGCTGACACATGCAGACCATCCTTCCCGGCAAGGAGTCCCCGGAACCCCCAACACTCCGCCGCCCTCCCGCAGAAATGGATCATTTCGGGGATCCCTTCTGGCTAAGGACCTGGGGCTTGACAGTAATCCAAGTGTGAGCACAGACGGTGTGGGCTGTCTGTCTGGATGCTGAGCTTTATCACCTAAGTTGCCCAGGAGAAGGCTGTGGATGAAGACGTCCTCCTTCAAGTTGAACCTGACCCAGCGGATCTCACCGCTGTGCTGCCTGTCAGGGTCGGACACCTGGGGTTGAACGTGTCTCCCTGTGCAGGGACTCCTGACTCCTGAGCTCTGCTCCACTCACTCACCCTGCACCTTTATGCTCTTTTTATATGCCTTCCCTTCCTGCCCTCCCCCCCCCCCCCCCCCCCTCTGTACTGACCACAGTCTGTTCCTACTGCGCTCGTCCTCACAGAGGTACTGATGATGGTTAAAACTTGTCCTGGTTACTGGAGCTGGTGTCCAGCTTTGTGGATGGCTGGGACACGTGGACCCCCTCTGTGGGCTGTAGTGGTCTATTTTCTCCTGCCTTGGCCTGCAGCAGGGTTCTTTCTCTACATACTCTGGGCCTAGAACAAGCCCGCAGTGAGCTTTCAAATGGAGTCTGGCCCTCTGGGGAGCTGGGGCTGGAGGCAGGGCCTAGCATGGCTGTGAAGGTTCACATGTTCCCGCAGACAACAGGAGGCATTCTAGGCCTCCTTGGCTAAGCACTAAAATCCTGGTTAACTTCTGACCAGCACCTCTCCTGTGGCATCTGCCTACAGGCTGAGGCGGCACTGCTGATTCAACATGGTGGCGGGTCCCGGCCGGCCTGGGGCAGCCGTGCTGACAGGCCTGGGCTTTCCAGGAGAGACCCGCTTACACAGATGGAGACAATGTCCAACCTCAAATGCCGAGACGTGGCCTCTGTGTCCCCACCGAGAGCTCTAAAGAGAAGGGGGGCCGTGCTGGGTATTTCCCTGTCTTGGATGGTCTCAAGGAAGGATTCAGCTTTGTGCTCCTGATGTATGTTTCTGAAAGTTCTTTAGCATCGAGGCATGCTACATGATCATGGAGTAAGTGTCTAAGCGCCCGGGCCATCGGAAAGGTCTTGCTGAAGTTAGAATTTCAGCCAAAAGTTGTGTTATCTGTGGTGACTTTTCCCCACTGTCTGTGGCCTGGGCTCATTCACGGCTGGTCCCTGTGTGCAGACAAAGCCAGCGGTGCTGAGAGATGAAGGCCGGGCACAGCTGTGGCAAGGGGCAGAACAGGGGCGTGCAGGTGCACACTGCCTGCGGGGTCTCCTGACCCACACCCGAGCTTCCACACAGACGTGTGCAGAGGGTGGATGGGGCTGACAGCCCTAGAGCACGCTCTCAGGCTCTCTCTCTCTCTCTCTCTCTCTCTCTCTCTCTCTCTGTCACACATTCATGTGTGCAGGGGCCAGACTAAACCCCAGTCCCTTCCAACCCTGGCAGACCCTGGAAATGGCTCATCTGGTCTGCCTCATGCACCGAGAATGAAAGCAGCGGATAATAATGGCAACATGTTCTCTCTTGGCTGCTGAAACAGCGTGTGTCACTACTGCCGTAGTGTGCACCAGCCCGAGCCTGAGGAGAGGTGGGATAAAGTGAACCGGATGCCATTGCGGGAGTGTCCACTCGGGGACGGAAGATTTCCCAAGCTGTTCCTTACCCAAACATCGGTGTCAGCTCTGATGCCTGTGCAGCGCATGAGCTACCTGTGCTAGCCGGCGAGTCTCACTCCGAGGCCGTGACTCCCTGCACACATCGGTCAAGAGTGCCCAGACAGGACGGGCGGCAAGGTGGCTCCTACCTGGGAGGACAAGCCGACACCTTGCAGGACACCAGCCCTGTGACAGGACGCGTCTCGGGGTTGCAGAAGGACGTGTTCACCGGCACCCTCAGGTCTCGGAAGCAGCCTTCCTTCGTGGTCATCTGCCCTGTGGAGAAGCGGAGGCATACAGTAAAGACTCGGAACCATGCCCTGGGGTCACGCAGACAGAGAGCTGTCAAGGTCTCTTCCCCAAAGCTGAGCTGCACTTGGGTGTGGATATCCAATGTGTCCACTGTTATGATTCTGCTTTTCTGAACTGCCATGATGTTTAATGCATGTTTTGTCAATTTCATGACCACCCAGGTTTTCGTGTCTTTAAGTTCGATGTGGTTTCCAATCATAACTCAGAAGGTGTGGAAAATGAGATCAATGGAACTGAAGGCTGGTTTGCTTTTCACCATCCCTTAATGCATTCAATAGCTCAGTTCATTCAACTGATCGCCAAGGAAGTGTTCCTGGAGATCTGTGGAATGGCAGCTGCCGGGGTTCAGGCAGGGAGAGTGAGGAGTTAGTGTTCATGAGTACGGAGGAGATGTCAGGCAGAAGTTGTGGGAGGAGTTCAGGGCTGGCTGTCCAGCCCCAGGAATGTGCACAATGCCCTTCGACTGTACACGCCACAACGGTCAACACGGCCGATGGCTTGTTTTCAATGTTTTGCTATGCTATAAAAATGGACTACAACCACACATACATTTTGAAGGATGACCGTCAGAAGTCTGTTTAATAGAGAAGAAAAAACAAGGAATCAAAACCACACAACTACTGGTTTAAGATGACTACGACAACATGCATGAAGGTAGAGAAGTGGTTTTTATGGGGGCCGGGCCACTGGTGTGAGTCACCGCTTCCCCCCCTCGCCCTTGCAGCCTGACCTTTGCAAGGCCCAGCCTGCCGTCTGCCACGCACCACCCACTGGACAGACCACCGTCACTCCCAGGTCCTCAGAGCTGGGTCAGGAGAGAACTGACCAAAGAGAGAGTTCTGGAGAAGCAAGGGTGCACAGCAATTCCTGACACTATTCCCCGGAAAGTTAAGCCCTTGGTAAAGAAAACTAAGTCTCTAGAACACACTGTGGAAACAAGTCTAACATGTTGTCATTACTGCGTGTAAAGAACTGAGCCCCTTGAGCAGGAAATAATGCACTCCAAAGACTCAAACTTCGGAGGGGTCAGAGATCAGCGATTCAAAGTCAGGAGCCCTGGGTTTGAGTCCCAAACCACCCATTTATTGGCACTGTTGAAGTGGACTTGTGGCACCTATATTCTTGTAATTTTTTGGAGTTATTCAGCTCTCTGATGACTAAATAAAACAGTATATAAACTCACTGTCAGAACTGAATTCAATGACTGGTCTCTCAGCTGGTGCCCAGGGTAGAGAATTGCTCATCAGTGCGGAAATCCCTGCACATTTGTTGATGAGAATAGAAGCAGTTGACATCAGGCTAGCTCAGGCTTAAGCTCACTTGTCCTGGAAAAGTGGCAGTAGTGTCATCTTTCCTTCCCAACTGGGAAAACGTGTTACATGGTGGTTCTTATTATAACATGTATGTGTCATCTGTTGGATCACATTTCTGGAGGGTGGAGAACATATGCTACTCATTTCTATAATTTCAGTAGCTTGCAAGGATTAATTTGTTCTCTCATTCATAAGTACTTGGTGAAACAATGGCCAATATATTCTTACGTTAGTAAATTCCCACATTCACACATTAGTAAGAATGAATAACCAGCTAAAACTCATCAAAGTAGAGATATATTCCACCAGTTCACCCATATATCCCTACTGAGGCATAGTGTGAATAGATATTTTTTTTCTTGCTTTATATATATGAGACTATTAAATCAGAAAAAGAAACGAATGTCCACTTAAAGGCATTCTTCAGAGAATCATGCCAACTTTTGAGATTAAATAATTGCAATGATCCAAATTAAATGAAGAATGCCTTGAGTAATTTTATAATTTCCTAGAGATAGTTAGAGGTCTTCCTGATACATACTGAAGGAAAATTGACCTGTTTTACTCCAGTTGTATTTTGAGTTTAAAGTTTAGCTGCTTTTATTTTCTAACTCCACTCCTATATTGCTTTAGGAAGTATGATATTATAAATAATGGCTTTAGTTTGGTTTCCTGTTTTGAAATTAAACATGTGAAATTCAAATCTGTTCAAATCTCAACAAAGAAAATTTAAATTGCTAGAGCATAAAATGGTTTCCACCATTGAAAGAAATAAATTTTGCACATTTTAGCACCCAAAAGAAGCTACAGCTCAATAATTCTTAAGAATGTTAATGTGAAAAATACCAAGTATATCCAGAGAGAGTAGTATCAAGTAGCTCATTATAAAAATACATCATCAGAGGGCAATTCATACTAAGAAAGCAGGAATGACTGAAAATTAGGAAAATCTGTTAGCGTATTTCACAACTTTAAGAATGAAAGAACAAACATGAATTTCACCATGAATGTAATAAAAGTCGTTATGATAAATTCTGCCTCTATTCTTATAAAAAAGTAAATGAGACATAGAATAGATGGGAATTTCCTTATGTCAACATGCTTTAAATTTATATCTAAGTATCTTTGTATCGATGTATTTATCTATCTAAATAGATATTTGTTCATTTATTTAAGCCTAGAATCTACTATTATGGGAAAACTACAAATAATTCCCTTAAGTTCAATAAGAACATTGCTTTATAGAATTAGATAAAATAAGTGACATGAAAATTACAATAAGAGGAAAATAGATATGATTTACAAGATATGATTACACATCTAGGAAATGGAAGGATAAAAATCTAGGGGCTGGGAAGGTAGCTCAGTGGTAGAGTACTTGCTTTGTATGTATGAAGCTCTGGGTTCGATTCCTCAGCACCACCTAAGTAGAAAAAGCCAGAAGTGGTGCTGTGGCTCAAGCACTAGAGCACTAGCCCTGAGCTGAAGCACTGAGGGACAGCGACCAAGCCCAGAGTTCAGGCCCTACGACCAGCAAAATAACTAAATAAATAAATAAATAAAAATACAAAACATTAAAAAAAATCTATTACGGTGAACCAACCAGCTAACTGACGATTTGGAAGAGTGGGGAGCAAAAAGCTAGAGTCAGAGAGAGCTATGCAAATTACACTTTCTTTTTTGAAAGATAATTGTCTTCTTTTCTTGGGTCATTGCTCACAGCATTTCAAAGACTTATTTACTCAACATTTTGGTTGGATTTCTACCTCGATAATGAGTACTAGCCCTTAATCTTGCCATCCGAGCTCCAAAACTGACACGATGCGACGTCATCTCTGACTTCTAACTAAACCTGAATCGTGCCTCAGTTTACCTGGTCCTTGGGTTTGTGAATAGCAGATTATGGACTTCATGATCTCTAGCCCATGTGAGCTAATCTTTCATAATAAACACCATGTAGCCATATAAATTTGTAAGATGTACACGATGACTCATACGTACATGTATTTGTATCTCCTTCTGGGTCAGCTCTGACTAATATGCCTATAAACAAAGTACTATGAAGTTACTAAATTTAAAGGTTCCCTTTTCTGAATGCTTGCAAAGTTCTCAGTTCTTTCAGAAGACTGAACGCCTATGCGGACAGCCCCGTCTGGCGGAGTTTGGTTTTCTGGTCTGGTTTTGCAGCAGGCAGGGGACGGCCCTGCGGTTAGGAGAGGCCGCGTGATGGAGCGACTGGCCTGCTCTCTGCGGGACTCAGCTTTGCTTCCTCTGACTCAGGGTGCATCCATGCAGTCATTGCTCACCGAGACTTAACAGTCATTTCACCTTGTCAGGAAGAAAAATGACACTGTGCACGGGAAGGCCAGCATCACACTGGCCTGCTTTCTAAAGTGATCTACAAAAATAGATAAGAGAGGAGAAAGGCATAAAATTCAAAGGCATAAGTGAAAAAATGCAAAGAAAACCAAACTTCCACTGTGGACAGAGCACTCCTGGCCACGGGCGGCAGGGAGTTTAAGAGCTCTGTGCTTGGGAGCGGTATCTGGTTACAGAAACCAGCTCTGGGCACTCACTTGCATGCACTTAAACATCTTCATATTTTGCCAAACTATCTGGAAGGGGAGTGTTCATTCTTCAGGATGATGTGTTTTTGTTGTTGTTGTTGTTTTAAATCAAAGAATCTCCAAGCTTTCATGAATTCCAACTAACAGAATGAATTCCAGCTGGAACCAACAACTTTGCCCTTCTTCCATAAAGAACAAGAAGGATGTCGGACCGATTCCGTTAGCAAAACTACACCGATGCGGGTGGAGACTGCATCATACCCAGTGTGCAGTCCTCCCCCATCACCTCCAGAGTGAGGGCTGCCCCCCTGGTGTGAGGAGAGTGGACTGAGCCCACAAACTTTCCAGAACCTCAGAATCAGACCAAGAAGACAAAGGAACCCGGAGCGGGGGCCTTCTGAACAATTCCCCGGTATTTGAGGGCAACTCTGAGGGCTTGGAGGGATCACTCTGAACACTGTGGAAGCCTGTGACATCCCAGGATGCCGACGGCGGTGACGGCAGTGACAGCGGACACGTGTGCACGGTGGTGGCGTTTCACATCTGATCAGACACACACACTCCGCGTAACAGAAACCCAGCTCACCCCCCAACCACCACGGAAACACACACTCATCAAAAGTAGCAGGGATGTTGTATTAATCAGCTTCTTACTGCTGTGAAGAAACACCCAAGGCAGGTCACTTGACAAAGAAAAGAGGTTTATCTTTAAAAAAAATCAGACTGGAGGCCTAAGCAAAGTAGTACGGCCTCTGGCAAAGGCCACTTGTCTGCTTCCTCCTGGCAGGAGCACATGCATGTCTGTCTGTCCGGTTTGCTCCCAACTACCAAGATTCAGCCCTGAGTGCTCTACCCTGTAGCTCCAACCTAATCTCGTATCTTCCTAAATGCCCCTTCTGCAGTGCAATGAACACCAGTGACCAAGAGAGTGGAGCCCAGTCCCGCTGGGTCTGAGATAAGCACATTTAAACTGTAGCAGAAGTATGTCTCTCCTGTATGTAGGCACTTGTGGCCCATTTGTCAGGTTCCAAGCTATCCCATCTGAAGCCTTGGGTGCCTACGTCCACACAGCGCAGTGCTGGAGAGCTAGCTGTGACCGTGACAGGAGTGTGGGAGCGGTGGGAGAGTCAGGGGCCAAGACAGGCACTTGACCTGAACACCCTGACAAGGGACCATTCGCTGGGGCTGGGGAGGCTCCTCCTTTTCCACTGTTTTTTGGGAGGGGAGGGCTAAGATTGGTGAAGCCCGTAAGTCTTGTCCTCCATCAGGGGACTGGATGAGGAGGGAAGACACTCGTGTGGCAGGTCTGTTCAAGGGTGAGTGAAGGCAGGGTGGAGAGGGACCCGCACCATTTCCCACGGTCCCGGCATCTCACATTTGGGCGAAACTGGAAAGAGTAAAACCACACACTTCACCCACTGGAACAAAATGCTTTAGGAAAGAAGTAGGGGATGCAGATTGAGTCCATTTTGTGCAGAACTTGTTTCTAGGGGAGAATGATTCTTTTGGGTTAGGTGATCTGCAAGCAGGTGGCATCCCCAGAGAGGCCCTGAGCTGGTCGTGAGGACGCGGGGTGTGGTGAGGACACACACCGCTGCATGGTTCTGACCGCAGCCACGGGGCCCTGACTGCCCTGCGCCATGGCCAGGAGCAGTGTGGGAGCGACTCACCTCCTCCGCAGGAGACGGAGCACTCCGAGCGCAGGATGGCCCACGAGAAGCTGGGCTTGGCTGGGGGCGGCTTCTCCATGCCCGCTCGAGGCAGCGCGTATTCCCAGGCCACTCCTGGGTTCCTGCCCTGGAACAGAAGCTGTGGAGGCAGAAAGCCAGCGGTGGTGAAATCAACGGCCACCGGCCAAACACAGATTCTTGCTTTAAACACCATTACTATCCCTAACCCACAAGTTGGTCGGCATGCTATCACGAACACACTCTCCATCTGCCAAACTGCATGTCAGTTTTCTACCTGGGGCGAAGCTCTGAATGAGGCTCAAGCATGTCTAGGAAAGTCTAGATTCTCCATCCTTGCACATCATGTTCAATGAGTGCCCCTATTCAAATCCTCAGAAACCTACACAGCCACAGCCCTACCAAGCCTCAGCGTCAAGTGAATCAGAAAGTGCTAGCTAAAGAGCATCTCCTCACCGTCTCCTGAAGTCCAAGTAAGCAGAAGAGTGTATAAATTGATGTCACCCAGGCCCAGAATTAGTCAGAGCACCCCCTTCCGTGAGAGCATAAGGGGTACAGGGGCAAGAGGCATGAATGGTAGCGAAGGCCACGTCACGCACCCATGGGGGGCAGGGCTGAGCTGGGGCTCAGTGTGGAATTGTGTTTGGACCTGACACTTCCTAGCTTTAGACCAGTGAAAGTCTCTCACAGAATGTGCACAATCTGAGGAGGCTATCTTTGAAACCTTATCATGAAGCGAGAGCCACAGATTCCACCCTTTCTGTTGTCCTTGACATTCAAGACATTCGTTCCTACTTACTACCCTAGCAATACTCCAGCCACCTGCAAACACAGCCCAGGAGCCAGCGGTACTGCTGGGCGACAGGCACAGGGGGCCGGCAGCAGGGACACGGAGAGGTTCCCAGCTCTCTCTTCCATCAAGAGCCTCAGCTGGAGGAGCCTGGCTCATTTCCAAACATGGCCGATTATTTAAGCTCTCTATGGTAGGCGATTTCAGGAATCGAGGGAACAGTTCATGGTAAATTTGTGGTGGGTGGGAAGTGAAGTGTTCAGAGTCAGGACCGGAGGGTGAGGTGGATCTGCAGAGGTGCAGACAAGCCCGACTAGTGGGCGTATTGGTTGGGATAGCAGTACTCCGTGGGGAAAGGTGGGTTGAGGGGGCCACGGTTGCCCCCAAAACTTTCCTTGAATTGTGCGATACAGTAGGGAAGGTAGGGATTCAGCACCCTGACTCCCTGCTGCTGCCACCTGCCCAGGCCTGTGGGGTAAACTGTTTTGCCAACAAGGGGCCTGTACTTCCTGAGCCTGTCCTGCAGTGGGTGGCACATGGGAGGACTGAGATCGCGGTGGCCCAGCTGCTGGGCGATGCAGCTCGGCCAGGGAGGGTCAGTAATGAAATAGAGTGCATCATGTAGTACGGGCTCCAGCTGAGGGCTCTCACTGTTACTACAGAACCTGGCAGCCCAGAACACGGGCTCCAGAGGCCCTCTCCTGAGGAGCCTGCACAGCCCCTGAACTCCTGGAGAGAAACCAGCGGATGAAGACCCGCAGACAGGAACACAGGTGCGTGTGGAAACACAGGAGTTCATCACAGGGAGTGGAAGGGATGATAAAAGCAAGTCTACTGCCCCCTTCAGTCCGCTGGGTGGATTACTCTCGCTTTCTGTAGCTTCACTTTCTTCTGCATGCTTACAGTGAGGCTAAGAACCTAGAAGAGACATGGGAAGGTCATCAAACCCAGCCCCAGAACCAAGCGACGGGCCTCTACCTCTATGACCAGTGTTTCGTTCGTTGGTCCAGCAGAGGTTAAGGTCTCAGGCTCCTTAAAGGACCGCCTGTAGTCAAAGGCGGTGCCGGAAAACCTGTACCGTCCAGGCCAGTCCACCGTCCAGTGTCCATTCAGGTAATAGGCGTTGAAAGCATTGCGCACAGCAATGTAGGAGGTAGATACGTTGGTCTCATAGATACGGATACTCCGGGCGCCAGGAGGAATGGTGACCACGTGATAATAGTCTGGATAAAGCAGAGAGGAAAACACATTTCACATACGCAGGCTTCTCTACTGCTGGATCGCAGGAACCCAGGGTGGGCAGCGGGAGGTCTGTTAGGCCATCAGTAACACTGCAGCTATCAATGCCAGCAGAACTCTTGGAAGTTTTATTCTTCCTAAGAACTATTTTAATTCAAGTAGAGTAGCAACCACTTCTGGCCCAAACCAAAGAAGTGTGTGTGTGTGTGTGTGTGAGAGAGAGAGACAGACAGACAGACAGACAGAGAGAGAGGGAGGGAGAGAGACAGACAGACAGAGACAGACAGACAGAGACGGAGGGGCATTCAGAGCGCTGAGCGCTTCCACCCCTTCTGGCCCGTCTCTGGGGGAAGCTCCAATCCCCGCCATCCCTGCTGAGGCCTGCAGGGGGCGCCGTGACACTCACGGTTGGCGTGGTGGTGCCTGGAGTAGAGCCCGCGGTGCATGGTGCAGTCTGAGTTATTCCCTTTGCACACTCCACACGAGTCCTCCGTAGCATCAGAGCCCAGGACATTGTCACAGCCAACTCTCTGCGGGACCCACGAAGTCATGTGCCGTTCGAGAAGGGAGGAACAACAGAAGCAACAACGTCACTGACGCCGTGTAAGACGCGCCTCCTTCCCACTAAGCTGAGGAGTGCACCCGCGTGGGGGTCGTTAACAGATAGTTATTGGATACCCAATATGTGCACAGAGAGACTATGTTGCTACCCTGAGTGTGAATCACAACCCGTCCTCTCCTTCAATGTCCGGTCCTGAGCCTAAAGAAAGCCCGTTAGAGACACAGGCGGGTGGGCTTCCACTTAATAACCAGCTTAGTACAAGGACAAGCAAGATCCCACTAAAATCAGGGCTCAACGTGGGCAGGAGTCCTTTGGTAGGTAGGCATCTAGCCGCCACATTTTGCTACTAAGCAAATCCAGGTCCCATAAAATTTCACAGGAGTTCAGATGCCAGTTTTTCAGCTGCTTACATTTCAGAGTTACACTGTAGGTAATTGATTTGTGATCGCTTTTATATGCATGAAAAGTGATGAAATATTTTTTTAAAATGAGCTAGAAGACAAAACAAATGTTCTGAAGCAGGAAGAGGCCTCACAGAGACTGGTGTCAGGGGCAGCGTGTGTGTGTATGCGTGTGAGTGTGTGTGAGTGTGTGTGTGTGTGTGTGTGTGTGTGTGTGTGTACAGTTCACTAAGGACCTAAGAGGATAACTCTTCTTCATGGAACAATGTTGCCCATTGCTGTGTGACACCTCTGGTAAGCCTTTCATTGTGTTCACAGGAAAAGTCTTGTCACCTCGTACTTTGCGAATGGTGGCAAGCCAGCCGCTGGCCCCTGTCTGCTTGTTCCCTGCCTTGCTGGCTCCGAGGGGCTCTGGCTCGCGCAGAAACGGCCGTGAGCGCAGCGAGGTGGCACCCAGGGCCCCGTCTGCCTTGCCTCCCTGACTGCCCACCATCTTCCCTATAACCTGTCGCTCTGGGGCACCCCTGGGACTTTGGCCCCTCAGCCCCATGGCTGAAGGACCTGAGGACTGCATTGGCCTCTCTAAAAGAGGGCAGCACGGCCCTGGAGCATCTCAGCTCTGCCTCGACTCCTCTAGCAGCCCACGGGCTCGGGTTCCACCACACGCCCCTCCAGCACCCCTCCTCCACTGCGTCCCTTCAGATCTAGATCAAGACACTCTCCTGCGTGTCCGCAATGTCGCAACCCCACATCTAAAGAAATAATCAGCCCTGTCTCCTCTGCCAAGCTCTGGAGTTATCTCCATGGTAACAGAGCAGTGACATAAATACAGGCTCTCTGGCCTGCTCCCCCACGGGGCTGTGATGTGGAGGGAGCGGACTCCTCTTAGAAGTCTGGTCTTTCAGCTCCTACAGCATGCTTGGCACAAAGGAGACTGTCTGGAGATATTTGTTGAATGAATAAGTGATCGTTATTACCTCACACATCCCATCTACACAAACATTACGGCTATCCTCCGAGCATGGAGTCCCATCTTTCACTTTATTTGACAAAGAAAAGAAGAAATCAAATCCTTCTGCGATACAGTAGAGTTTGCATAAGTCCTGATCTTAAAAAGAAATACACACACAAACACAAATAAGAAAGATACTTAAGCTCGGATAATTTTTTCCTCTGAATTTTAGATAGTTTTTTTTTTCTATTCTTCCCCCATAAAATAACTCCCACACAAAATTACATCGCAAAGACATTTTTTACAGTTGCCTCTTTGGCTTTTTTCCCCCTTTAAATTTGTTACTGCTTTTAATGCTTTACTACAAGCTTTTTCTCCAATGTTGTTTACTGCTCTTGTTCTTCACAGAGAAGCTGGCACATAGTAGGCATTCAATAAGTATTTGTTCACTTGACCACAGCATTTACATCTTACAACATAAATAACAACTGTTTTGTAGAAATGCAAAATGGCAAAGGTCTTACAAAAATGTAACGAGAATTAAAATAATCACAAAATTTCTTAATGCATTAGATAAACTACTTAACGTTTGAAAACTGGTAAGATGGTTTGTGGTGAAAGCTAGATGTGACACTTTCTATAAGGACAGTAGATCCTCGGGAATGGGGGTAGGGAATGAACAGGAGGGAATACCCGGATCTCACTCTTCACTAACCCCCTCTAAGGTCCTATGACACGTACAGTCAAAAGAGTTCTCGTAGGAACCCTTTTCCTTCAGTTCTCCTCTAGGGAAAGAAGGAACTGCTTGATGGTAAAGATAAGACCTGCCTGCCTTGGGACTCTCCGCAGACCCTAGACCCACCCCCTGGACATTTCCCCCTCGCTCAAGATACAAGGTGCTATGGCATAGTCCATAGGATTATTAGGATGGTTAGTCAATCATCTGAGTGGCATAGAGGCTTCTTTTCTCCAGTGTTTGGAGCTGAATCAACACTAGGCAAATACTCTACAACAAGAGCCACAGACAGCCCTCCCCCTACAGCTTTTGCTTTTCATTCTACTTTTGAGACAGGCTTCTACAACCTAGAACTTCCAATCTTCCTGCCACTGCCGCCCAAGTTGCGGAGAGTACAGGAATGTGCCCCATGCCAGCGACATCTCCATTCTTCACCCAATTTCAAAGGTCATTCTGCCTTTATTTCTAACAATCATGTTCCTCTGCGCCTCAAGGGCTTTGTTTTTGCAGAGTAAAACAAAACCAAATAAGCTGTCATGAGATTGCTTGTGTTTTCCTAGTTAGCACTTGCTAACTTTGTAATTTTGCTTCTGTGGGAAACATATATACTAAAATGGTGGAAGCAAAGATACTGAAATATCTCACTCTAGGAAAACTTTTCCTTTATTATGATATATGAGTTAATAACTTTTTATTATTATTATACTTATAATCATATATAAGACTATACTTATTTCTCTCCTACAGATGAATAAACGTTTTTACTCTCAATATATACAGCTCTTGGAGCATAATTATAGAATAATACTCTCAGAATATAGTATTCTTGGAAATGATTCAATTGTTTGAAAAGATCTACACATTTTATTTTATTCTTGGATGATTTGAATTATGTAATGGGTATTTATAAAAAAATCACCATCAAGTACTGTAATTTATTTTTAAGCCAATTTTCACCATTGATTTTGGATTGTTATCACTTATTTTGCGGGAGGAATTGGTCATGGGGCTTTAACTCTGGGCCTGGGCATTGTCCCTGTGCTCTTCAGCGCAAGGCCAGTGCTTTACCACTTGAGCCACAATGCCATTTCCAGTTTTCTGGTGGTTTATTGGACTTTCCTGCCGGGGCTGGCTTTGAACCGTGATCCTCAGATCTCAGCCTCCTGAGTAGCTAAGATTACAGGATAGCTACTTTTTGCCAGTCCTGGGGCTTGAACTCACGGCCTGGGCACTGTCCCTGAGCTTCATTTTTGCTTAAGGTTAGCACTCTACCACTTGACTAACAGCATCACTTTTGGCTTTTTCTGTGTATGTGGTACTGAGGAATTGAACCCAGGGCTTCATGCATGCTAGGCCAGCACTCTACCACTGAGCCACCTTCCCAGCCCCTTGTTATCATCTCTGATGAATTTACTGTATTCTCTGGCCTGTGGATTTCTGACCACACAGGTGGTCCAGTGTTAATGACAGCACAGGACGGTGGATAGAACAAAACAAACAAATACCTCAAAAAAGAGTGTCACAGTGACGTCTCAGAGCTAGGAGATCTACCTGAGCACAGCACTAGCCATGGCGCGACTGGCTAAGAAGTGTCTGTCCCGAGGGTGAGTTGAGACTTACCTTCCACTTGAGTGTAAGGCTTCCATTTGTAGAGCCAGCCTCGGAAGCGCTTGCTGTTATACTCGGCACACTGGGCCGCGCGGAAGTCCACACTGTCCTGGGGACACTGCTGTCTGCTGCAAAGCTTCAGGGTGCGTGCGGCGCCCTCACAAAACTTCCCCCCATGCGATGGTCTGCAACACACAGTTTGCGGTTAGAGCCTTGCGCTCCATCCTGGAGATGAGACTTACTGAGAAGATGGAGCGACGGTATTGATGCACGCAGAGTGGGGAGGGGGGACACGTTCCTCTGTGGGTGAAGCGTCTGTCTGTCTTTGGGTGAGGTGTCTGTCTGTGAATGAGGTGTGTGTCTATCTGTCATCTGTCTCTAAGTGAGGTGTCTGTCTATGGGTAAGGTATGTGTGGGGGGTGTCTGTGGGCGAGGTGTCTGCGTTTCCCTGCTCTCTGGAGAACGCCTTCTGCTATGCTGGTGCCATGCCCTCTTTTCCTGCCAGTGTCCTCTGGCCCAGGCAGGGCTGCCCTGCTGTGTCCTTGTGGGAGCAGCTGCTTTGCCAGGTATAGAGATGACCGAGAAGGTCCAAGGGCAGAGCCCAGACTGAAATTCAGTAACGTTGCTTTCCAGACAGCAACTTCTTTCTGGGTCCAACCTCTGCCTGACAGAGCAGAGCAGAAAGGCTGAGTCAGAGCATCGCTGGGCTGACAGCCCCCCACGCCCCGCTCTCCTGTGGGATTCCTGTGCACGCCGCATGAGTGGGCCTTGTGCATTGCGGACAGGAGTGACATGCCAGGACCTAAGTCTGAAGCAGACCGAGGAGCAGACGGAGGCTGGGAAGGCCTCAAGTCCCCATGTGAGCTGTGGCTCCAAGTCCTGCCTCTCACACAGGCTCACACTTCAACCACCTGTTAGAAGATGAATACTAAGGGCAAGCTAAAAAAACAGTTCTTCATGAAAGAACTGCTTTCACTGATTTATTCATTTGCCTTCTAATGTTTGCCTTTTTTAGCAAACGAAGTCTTTGCTATTTAAGCAGATGGTTTGTATTTCAAATAAAATTAGCTAAAATCCAGTTCCTAAGCATCACTTTTGGGTGTCACTGCTTTTGCCTCGGCTCAGAAAGGCACAATGAAGAATGATGGCGGAAGAGCCTTTCCTGCTCCGTGTTTCCTGAGGATTGTGCAGAGCCAGAGCGGAGGTGCTGGGCGTGGGCGCCGTGGGGGCCGGCTCACGGGCGGCGCTGGGCCGTACCTGGGGTTGGTGCAGAGTCGGTCCCTGTGGGATACCCCTCCTCCACAGGTTCTAGAGCAAGGCGACCACGGAGACCAGTCTGACCAATGGCCGTGAGTGGGCCTAGGGCCCTCGTCGCCGTATTTCACACACTGTCCTCCACGGCACCACTAAACATTTCAAAAATAAATACACAAAGGGTCCATGTGAGTCGCAGAGTTAGGAAGGCTCATTTCATGACTATCAAAACAGCGATTACCGGGGAGTTTTGTGAACTGTGCAAATAAACATCACGAGGCTCAGTGAGTACCGGTCAAAGACAAACAGCTCTATGCTCCTTAGTCTTCCTAATATAGCAGGACACTTGCAAATCCACAAACGTGGAAGTGGACAGACCGATTGCTTTGGAGACCCGTGCTCCTGGAACTTAATTAAGAAGTGTTACATGACGGTTGAGTCTGACCCTTCCGTTCCTGAGTCAGTGAACTCTGACCTCGCGTGGAAGCAGGTGCCTTTCGCGGCTCCTGCTGGGGGGAGACGGTGTGGGGCGAGGCTCAGCACAGCCGGGCACAAGGCAGGACTCAGCACCCTGGGATTTCAGCCGACATCTGCTTCTCACTGCAGCACACCTGGGCTCGGGGCCCTGTGCTCAGCCACAGGGCAGGTGAGAGGTCACTCAGCTCTCCAGAATCCCCTCAATGTGCAGGCTGGGGCTTCAATTCACCCTGAGCTCTGCTGGTGTCTCCACCTCCATGACTCGCCAGTCCTGCGTGTTGTCTGACCCTGTGTTCCATGGAGCTATGGTGTTGACCTCAAGGAATAGGCTGTCTGGGAGAGGAGGGGAGGGAAGATGCCACTCATGCTAGCGCCCGGTGATGCCAGCAGAGCCCGGCTGAGATCAGAGATGCCACCAGCTCCATGCTGTCCCCGAGACCACAGCCCTCAGCCTGGGATTGTGAGAAACACTGGCCACTTCCACGAGAGAGGAATGCACCATCTCAGTGACCAATGACACAGAGGTTAGGACACAATATGCCACGGACCTCTCTCTCTCTCTCTCTCTCACACACACACACACACACGTGCACACAATTGTCAATGTCTTACTTCATATGTAATGAAGTTGAAATTTTCGACTAAAGCAACTTTTAAAACCTCATCCAAGCAATTCTTTGACTCTTCTCTATGTCTGCTCCCCTCTTCAAAGCAAAATACCATCACCACCTGCCTTCTCCCCAGGTGGCAGAGCAAGTCAGCCGAGGACTGTGCAGCAGGGGGTGGAGTGTCTGATCATCCCAAGAGCGAAAGACAAGATGGACAGAGAAAAGAGTGAACTTAGCTGTGGCGGCAGTGCTGGACTCTGGAGGGAGGAGGGGGAGGCCAGGGGTGTGTGTGTGTGTGTGTGTGTGTGTGTGTGTGTGGTCATTTAAAAAATTTTGTTCTGCTTTAAAAACCATTGAGTCATCACAGCTTTCCAACACAGGAAGGAACAAATATAAAAGCACAAATCACCAAGGCGAATAGCTTAGAAAATACTCCCAGGAAAATGTGTCTTGGTGGGAAGCTGCAGGTGGGATTTGGATCTGCTCCTGAATCAGGCAGGCAGGTGGGAGAAGAGTGGCAGTCCCACTTCGCGTCACACCACTGATGCTGCCGTGCTACTGCTTCTCAGGAGAGCGGGCAGATGCAAAACAGAGAGCGACTATCCTTCCTCCAAAAAACGTGCTGAATGGGAAACTTCCTACATGAAAACAGGCAGGCTACAGAGCACGGAGATCCCCGGAAACCCGACCCGCGCTCCACACTGTCCACGTGGGTCCAGCTGTGTCTCACCTGTATTCCGTCTACCTTTTCTCTTCTTAATACTGAGTCCCAGACATTTTTTATCTTTAAAACTTCACTATTCCTCCCCAAAATTAACACTTCAAGAACAAAAATAGCTGTCTAGAAGCTTAGAGAAACTTCTAGTATTGTCAACGATCTGGTGAGTGTCCAAAATCTTGTTTGTTCCTTCCCACTGGCGTGGTAAATCTGGGCTGGAGTGAGAAGCAGGTGCTGTGCTTGGCGGACTGCCTCTCGACTCTGCCACTGTCTGTGATCTCTCTCGGTGTCTGTCTATCTGTCTCTCTCCCTTCCATGTACTGGTCTGTCTGTGAGTCTTATATTCTGTCTGTGTTTCCTCTAAACATTCTCCTGTGTGACTTGGGCCTGCTGTGTTCAGGAGGCTGGGAGGAGTGGTCTGCTCGGGTCAAGCTGGGTCTCAGCGAGCCTGGCTGTAGTAGTGTCATGGATGCACACACAGAATGCCTCCCGGTGCACATGTCTTTGGTGTTCGATGCTTCAGTAGGTATGGAACTGTCAGACAGACTTGCTGACTGGACAGGTTCAACACTGCCATTCTCCACTGCTTGCTAATACACTTGCCTTTTTGTACTTTTCTTTTTTCTCTCCTGTGGCTCTGTCTTTTCTGCACAAGAGCAACAATAGGTCAGCATGGTCACCCGGGGTCTTCCAATTGAGGCCCAGAGGTGGAAAGTCCCTAATGCTGATCCATCGTTGGTTAAAATGAATGGTTTACTCTTTCCCTTTGTTGCTTAAAATGAATGGTGTACTCTTTCCCTTGTTAACTGCGTTCAGTCATCACTTCTAAGAATCCTAGTAGTTATCCATTATATTTTCACAAAGTGAAGAGGTGTCCTGTTCACAGGTTCAATATCAAATGAACGCAGCCTTTCAGCATGGCTGGAGGAATGGACAGGTACAGGTACGTGATAACTGCTCATGTGACATGAGGACACCTGCGTGCCGCCCCGCCTCCCACAGGCAGTCACGTCGCAGGGCTCGGTGCCTTACCGTGTCCTGCCCGCATGCTGTGCCCTCCGCCGCTGGCATGGATTTGGTCTCACATTTCCTTCCGATGCGGTGGCACCACAGGGCTTTACAGATGTCCTGGAGGGGAAAGGCCGTTAGTGTCACCTCTGTGTTGTATCTGTGGCAAAGTGTCACTGAGGAAAGTCAGAGAAGAGCACCTGATGGAACTCTGAAGTGAAGATTGCTCAGTAAAAACGACAGAGGGTAAAGAAGCAGCCAGCTAAGGACCCAGAAAACCCACATTGTATCCTTGCAGTTGTATTTGTTTTTATTTACTTACAAATTTAACAAATTATACATCCTAACATTGCTCACTCTAAACATTGTAGTCAACTACCAAAAGCTACCACTAAGAAAACCTGGCTAACATTTGGTGGTTGTTTTTCTCAGCTCCACCTTTCACGAACGTCTCTGTCTCTGAATCTTAAATTTTTTTTTAGTTAATTATTTATTTTGAGAAAGGATCTTGCTATGTGGCTCAAGCTGGTCTAGAACTCCTGGGTTCAAGTGATCCTCAGGTCTCAGCCTCCCAAGTCGCTGGGATGACAGATTTTATCAATGTGCCCATCTCTATAATCGATGAGTTAAGAACAGTTAGGACACTGTTGGCCCATCAGTCCAACCATTCATTCGCTCATCCACCCCACCCTGCATCTATCTGTATGCCCACCATCCCCCACACTTTGATGAAAACTCAAGTTATGAAGAGCCTTTCACTAGGCAAGACATTTCATAATGGAGGTGACCCGCAGCTTGAGCTTGGCCAGGGAGGAGCAGGAAGGGAACTTACAAACCACCACTCAGGGCCCATGGGAGGAAGAGCGTGTGGGTGAGCCTGCCAGAGGGGAAGGGCTTTGCCTGAGGAGAGAGGGACGCAGTCAGACATCACATAATGGCTCATCAGGAGGAAAGGGATGGCACCCAGCGGGACGGGCATGTGTGAATGAAAGAGAGGGTGGCCAGGAAAGAAGACTCGGGACTGCTCTGTGGGTTGACTGGACCAAGGCCTGGTACATGACAAAAGGCTCTTCAAGCGAAAGGGTTGTGTTTATCCTCATATCCTTTGAGTCCAAAGGAACTGCCTAGAAACATGCGAGAGCAGGACCTATCAGATGTCAGAACCTTCTAGAATACTGTATCTTTAGCTATCATGGGAATGTCTCTAAAACTTCCTGTACAGTCATTCTGAGTATTTTAATAAGTTCTGTATTATGTTTCCAGAAATGTAATGGCTGAGTGCCCTGAATGACTGGGACTGCAAACAAAATGCAACACAGCGAGAGGCACTTCACTGAAAGATGGTGCTGTGTCTCCCTGCGTTTCCACAGCCTCGCCAGGCGGCTCCTGACTTGTGTGAGCTGTCTCAGAAAGACTTTAACTTTTAGTGATCCATTTTAACTTCACCTGCATGAAACTAGTTCTTAATATTCTAATCACATCATATATCTAGAAATTAAAGTATTATTAAAGATTCAACTCACATTCTTTCTGGTGTTCCTCCCTTACTAATCAATCATAGACACCTTTTCTTCAAAAATACAAATGAATAGAATGCAAAATAAAATGACATTATGCCCTTTTCCCCTCCTTTCCTCCCTCTCTCCTTCTCTTCTTCCCTTCCTCCCTTTGGAAGTACTGGGTTTGAACCCAGGGCCTCACACTGGCTGGGCGAGGTCTCCATCACCTCCAGACATTTCTGTTTCAGCTAGATGCTGAGTAGGGCCTCGTGTGGCTAGGCTTGCTGTAAACACCCTACACACATCTCCTGTAGAGCTGGGAACTTAGTTAGTTGCATATCACTGAATTTTGTTTAGGATAGCCTGGAAATCACAATCCTGTCCACCTTTTCTTCCCAAGCAGGTAGGAGCAGAGGTATGTGGGCTTATACCCTGGCCTGTCCTAGCTCTGTCTCTCCACAGTATTCAGGAGCCAGGAATGACACAGTCCATGGTCAGAGCAAAGGTGGAGGCCATCCGCAGAGCTGGAAAGACAATATGTCGGTGCAGCCCATCATTTCCCTCACAGACACAAAAGCAGTACTTAGCAAAGCATTTTATAAGCGACTCAGATGTTCTGCTCACACGAAGGGGCAGCACGGGGACCCGTGGCGCTGCCGGCGATTTACTCTCCTGGTGGCAGCTGGAACCGCTGGAGCCCCGCTCTGGCACAGATCTGTAGCTGTTCTTTAGGGGAGCCCCACCTGACCTTAGAGGAGAGAGCGCTCTCACACGGGATGTCAGCTGATATATTCCCAGCACATTCTGAGATGTGAGGGGACGTGCAGGGGACTGTATTTCTTGTCTGTTTTATTACTGATTTCGAGATGAACTGGGAATAAAAGAAACCTCAACGACAGTTACTTTCATTTACTTTATGAGGAGCTCTCCTTGTGGTTCAGAACAGCAAGTTCCTAAAGCTTGCTTTTTCCCTGTCGAGGAAGAGCATCTGTGTCTGTGTTACGTGAGGAATTTGTATAGGAAGTCACCCTGTGACAGCCTTAGGGGCAGGGAGATATCACCTCCTATGAGAAATTACTCTATAAACACTTTCTTTAGGGAATGCAATAGTCAGAACCTAGCTAGGCAGCTGTTTTCTAATAAATTATGCTTCTATGGGGATGGGATGAGGGACATTGTTTTCTTAATACCATTTGTAAAAAAAAAAGGCAGAGTATTAATTTGCCAACTCACACTGACTAAAAGTTATTGCTGAACTTCCACATGATAAATCAGAAAGAAAGATCTGACCTAGCATGCCAGCTCCATCCTCCAAGGAAATCTGATACCCACAGCAGCGTCCACAGCCATCCGCTCCACCAGGAAAACATGTGTTTCCTGTTACACAAGCCCGGCCCTAACGTACAGGATTTGACATTTGGTAGGTACCCAATAAATGCAGAATGCATCACTGTCAGCTACACAAAACAGAGTGAGCTTACGATCATACTGCACCGAGCACCGGCCAAGAGTCACTTGCCTTTCTGAAGTCTAGAAGACAGAGCTTGGCTTTCTCTCCAAACTGCCACTTGCACTGTGTGTTTGCGTCGTACAACTCTCCCGGTAGCTTCTCAGGGTACTTGTATTCTTTCACGGGTTTTGGCTGGTCAGCAAGACACACGGCTTGGGCAGTGCTGAGACAAAGAGAAGATGGCAGCTAATGATGGCCGAAGAGTTACCGACTGATTTGATAACAAACTGGGGCTTTTTTTTCTTGTGTGATTCATGTCATATTTTGTATAGAAAGAAGGGAAAGTTTTCTCCTGAGATCCACTGTAACATTTATCTTTATTATATTTAAATACAGATGCCACATTGTCTGAAGTTGTTCATAAGATATTATATATTTTCCAAGAAGACAAATTGCTCTTCATTAAATATCTCAAACTTTTCATGGGGGAAAAGCGAAAATAATTACAACCAAATGTTTAATGTGAGAATTTCCTATGACACAGAAATTTTATGCATACTGCTTGCCAGAAACAACCAAAAGATGGAGTTGAGCACATTGTAAAAATAAAAAATAATAAAGCTATGTCAAATAATCACCCTCCCTCCCTCCCTCTCTCCTTTCCTTCCTTCCTTCCTTCCTTCCTCTTTTCCTTTCCTTTCCTTCTACCTTTCCTCCATTTTTCCTTTTCTTTTCTCTTCCTTCCGCCTCCTTTTCCTTGTTTTCCTTTCTCTTCTCTTCCCTTTCCTTCTCCTCACTCCCCAAGTAGTCAATTTTGTAGTGAAATCTTTGAAACTATCAGGCAAAATAAATCTTCTCTGAGTTTTAGTTGTTCCTCTCAGATATTTTATCATAATAGCCTAAGGCTGCCTAACAACCTCCTTAGTTAGCTAAGATTTTTGGCATAATTTATAAATCTGGGAGGCATATAATGTTTTAAATAGCAATGTTTGCAAGTAGCAACTACGTCTTTCTTATATGTTTCAATGGCTACAATTTAGCCCTAAAACCAAGATCTTATAACCACCATGAATTCAGTAATGTAAAACATCATCCCTGAGTTTGCATCCAGTGATTATTCAAACCAATTGGAAGATGTTTGGCTCCAATTTCTAGGACTCCAGTCCCATATTAAACACAATGTCATTCAAGAATCTGGGCATAAAAAGCAGCAAAGACCCAAATGGGCTCACTGAAACAAACTTCTAGGGAAAATTAAGTATGTCAATTCTCCACAATCTCTTCATTTGGATGGGGACAGAGAACACACTTATTAGTTCACCCTGTGAAGGGCAGTATTATCACAATGCCAAAACAAGAGAAAGTATGAGAAAACTACATACTTACATCTCTTACAATGGTAGGTGCCAAAGTCTTCAGCAACATGTTAGCAAATTGAATCCAACAACTTATAAAGTGGATTAAATACAATAATCAGGTGAAATAATCCCAGTGTACAAAACCAAACTGGCGCTCAAAAGTCAATTGATACAATCCATTTCATCAACTAGCTAGAGAAGAAAATCTCACAAATCTGCATCAGTAAATGGGGAAATGAATTTGAGAAAATCCAATACTCATTCCTAACAAAGTAAGAATGAAAGAGAGCCCCATCTCTGGCCAAAAAATTCTACATAAAGTCCATAGCTAAAATCATAATTAAACCTGGGAAACTTGTACCTTTCCTACTGAGATCATGAGCAAAGCAAGTATATCCTTCTTTTCTCTCTGTTTCTTTTATTTTTCTTCTTTATATTTTGGAGATGATCGAGTATGAATTCAGGGCCTTGCTCATGCTAGGCAGATTAATAATCAAACCACACACACCAACCTATCACCACTTCTTTTCAACACAGTTCTGGAAATCCTAAGGAAGTAAGATAATAAAAAGGAAATAATGCCATGTACAAGGAGGAATAATACATTATAATTTTTGTGGATGACATGGTTGTTCAAAAGAAACTTTGAAAGAAAATGGCAAACACTCCTGGAACTAAATAATGATCATAACAAGATTGTAGGATTAAATTTTAATACTCAAAAGTTGATCGCCTTTTAATATATAAGCAATGACAAAGGGGAAATTATTTCAAATTATAAACAAATGTCATTTATACTAGCATCCTCAAAGTGAAGAATACTGGTATTAAGAGTTTATGTACAAGATATAGCTGAGTAAAACAGACAAAACTCTGATGAAAAGAATCAAAAAATAAATAAATGGGGAGATATGCAATGTCTACAAATAGAAAGCCTTCATCCCACTTTGATTTATGGCTTCAGTATGATCTGGCCCAGAATTCAAGCATGATGGTTTGTGGATTATGAGCATTGATTCTGAAGTTTACGCAGCCAGGAAAAAGATCCAGAAATTTCACACAAAATTTAAAGACAAGAACACAGGTGAAGGACTCATGTGATGTAACTTCAAGACTTTCAAAGTAGATGGAATATAAGTCCATATCACCAATCCGATACCACTAACAGCCAAAACACTGACAATATGAATGAGGATACAGAGAATCAAAGAATCTCATTCATTGTTGTCCATTAAAGGTATGGATGCCAAAAGAAATTCATCACAACCATTTTACAAAGCATCTACAAGATCATATGGAAAAAATTAAATTTAACCTTTATGTACCTTATACACAAAATTCAGGCAGGTTACAAGTAATAAACAGCAACAAAGCTTATCGGACAGTAACTCCTTTGTACAACTACTTAAGGATAATAATTTTAAAGAAGAATGAATAAACTTACAAAAAAAACCTCGTAGGCAGGGGGGGATGAGATGGAAAGGGATGGGAAGGGGAAACAAAGGAGGAGGCAACAATGCTTGATAAGAAATGTACTCATTACCTTGCCTATGTAACTGTAACCCCTCTGTACAGTATTTTCACAATAAAAAAAACTTATGTGAAAAAAAGAATATTTTTATGTTGGGATTAGCAGTGCTTTTCCCTCCTCCCTGTAGACTCAGAGAATATCCATCCTAATGCCCGTCATGCTAGCCAAGCCTTGACAACCCAATTTTCTACCAACAACAGAATAATTAGTTATAGTTTGGGCACATGGTAATCGGGTCAACCCATGTGACACTCCTGTGCAGCAGCAAGAACGACTCCCATATTCACAAAGCCGTGCAGAACTCCCAATCCCCTTCACCCAAAGTTCTACAGCAGAAAAGCACTTATTTGCAAGGCTCCGTGTTCTGATCCTGGTCCTGTCCCAAAGCGGGAGGTAGTGACTGGGGAGGGGTGGGAGGGAGGAGCTGGAGTGGG